TTTTAAATTCGAATTTGTTATTGCATATTGATTCGATTATAGAACGATTGTAAACTTTCCAGAAAATTGATCAAATTCAAAATAGTTAGTTTGATTCTCGGCAATTCTCATCATTCTCAGCAGTAGGTGTTATATAACAATTACTATGGTTGTTGAAATACTGACTATAAATGGGGTTTGTTTGCAAAATCCTCACGGGCAAAGCCGCGGGTAACAGCTAGTTAATTTATATGATGTAAGCGGAACAAAGTTTGTATTGAACATCGTTTAAATTATGTTTAAAAATTAGAACACAGCTAACTTCGAATGTTAAATATTTTCAAAAAGATAGAACTTTTTTGTGTGTGTGTATGTGTGTGTGTTTCCTGCATTCTTTCCTGACGAGGGCCTTTGAAAGACGGCCGAAAACGTTTGAACATTAAATTTTATTTGTTCATTTTATTTAGGTGTTTAGTTGTTTGTTTATCACATTGTTCCAGTTTAAGTGTGTCAGTTTTTATGTCTAAATAAATCTAGTAATTAAGCAATATTACTTTGCAATATCTAATGATTAGTAAGTAACTTATGATCTCATAACTTAATATCGTTTGATATTTAAATTAATTATCGGGCTGGTTGCATATATTTCTTTAATAATGAGAATATAACGATACCTCTGAAAATTGACTGTTTATTTCGATATATTTAAGACATATTTTATATATTGATATTATTAATATTTCAGATAACCAGAAATGCGGTTAAAATTTCGAATTACCTCATTAGATAACTGTATACGCGCCGACGTTAAATGGACTTTACAGAATCTTCTCCGACAGTGGCATTTCTCCGTAATAGAATGGGTTGAGACGGAAAAAACTGAAAAATTTGATGACAAGCCTACATTTGACGAACATTTAATTGAAATACAGTGTAAAAGTAGTCGTTTTTTTACCGATCTGTATTCTGAAATGGATATTTTGACAACAAATTGGTGTAGAGCGTATACAAAATGTTGGTTAACATTAACAACTCTTAAATGTTTTCACCCAACTAGAATTGCCTGTCATGAAAACATCGTTTTGAAAATATTAAACTACGGAACTCTCTGCTCTCAAATGCAATATATAATTCACAGACATGTAAAAGGATTGCTCTCTGCAAATTTTTATCATGACTTACGGATATTAGAAGTAAAACACAGAAGAAATATTTACGATAACAACAATAATTTATTAACAATAAAATATTCTTCCATAAGGAAAATTATTGTAAAAATAAACAGAGACTCTGCTTTACTCTTCTTAGATATTAAATATCCTCCTGTTGCTTTTTCTAGGGGAAGAAGAGTTTTAACCTTCGATACTGTTGACAGAGAAGTGCACGGAAAATCAACAGTTTTGATGTTACATATCGAAGATTTAGAATTTGCTAAACAAATAGTTAGCAGACTTCATTCGTGTAATAATGTGATGCCTATTCATTATGGCTCCATACAATTAATTTCTAGAAGATATTTGCCACTACCCACTTTTAATTTGAGTAATTTCGATTGCACTTACAACTTATACGCAATACTTACTAGAAATTTTGTCTTGCTAGAACAAACTAGAGGAAATTGGAAAACTTTCATTAATCAGATAGAACAACAATGCAACGAAAATCCAAGTTACTTAGAGAAAGCCTTGGAGTCTATATTAGATTTCCAAGAACGTGGTGTACTTTGCCACTTTCCACATGCTATTGAATTGATGTATCGTTGGTATTGTGAAAAAGATGCAGTTTATGTAAACGATAACGAATATACAACGCCTCCTAATACCAAATTGATTAGGAGAGTAGTTTTGACTCCGACAAGAACTTTGTTTTATCCTTCTGAATTTCAATTCAGTAACAGATTGTTGAGGAATTTTAATGCAGATTATGCACTTCGAGTTTCTTTTCGAGATGACGATGGTAGGAAGTTGAGTGCACCAGCAGCATACAGTGATGACATATTGGAATTCTCAGTTACCATGCCTATGACTTTAGGAATAAATATAGGCGCAAGACATTACAAATTTTTGGCATGGTCAAATTCTCAAATTAGAGATCATGGTGTCTGGATGTATGCGGAAGACGATAACGGACATAATACTGATACCATACGAACATGGATGGGGGATTTTTCGATAACCAAAAGCATTTCCAAGTACATGGCTCGTTTGGGACAATGCTTTTCACATACAGAAGACACAATCAAGATTCCTTTAGATGATCGTTACATCATCACAGATGATGATATTGAAGGTGGATTAAACCCTGTTACAGGGAAACCTTACTGCTTTTCAGATGGAATTGGCAAAATATCTAGACAATTAGCCGAGAACGTGAGTATCCACATGTATTATCTGCATTTATAATTATACTATTTATAAAAGATTCACATATAACATTTTGTAAATTTGTATGTAATCAGTGCCGTAACTAGCCATTCCTGTGCCCTGTGCAGGAATTTGTATTTAGGCCCCTTAATTAATTAGGTTTGGGAAAGTAATAAAACAAATACATGCATTTTGGGCCCCTCTTTCAAGTGGGCCCTGTGCGGGTGCACCTGTTGCACCTGCTTAGTTACGGCACTGTATGTAATACAGTAAGTGTCAAAATCCTCCCAAAGAATGCTTCTATTTTAAAGAACTAAGTACGTTGCAAAGCACATTTAGTACGAAAAGCTTTATATTTATTGCTTATATGCTTACATATATAAGTGCAAATATCTGAACATCGTAATTATTTTACGAGGCGTGTTTTTTAAGTAAGTACCGTTTTAAAATAGGATCGCTACAGTGCTACGGTTGGAGTTCCGTGAATGTGCGCAGAGTAACTACATCTATTGGCTAGCCACAGACACAATTACGGAAGCATTCGTTTGTTTTACGTTTGTTTGTGTGTGTTTAAATGCCTTAGACATTTGAAAATCCCACCGATTGAGAAGTACGCGCAGTGATTCGTTTTTTTAATGCAAAAGACGTGAAAGCGGCTGGCATTCATCGGCAGATTAGTGAGGTGTATGGAGAAACATTATGAGCGATGGATTGGTAAGAACATTTATTAGAGCGTTTAAAGATAGCGGTACTAATATCTATGACGAGGAGCGTAGTGGGCGACCGTCTGTCATTACTGAAGACTGTGCAGAAAGTTGTTGCAAAAGTTCGAGAAAACAGACGCTTTACGATTTCGTCATCCAAAACAAAAGGCATGGCAAGCTCATTAAGCGGATTGTTTTGCTTCATGACAGTGCCCGTCCACACGTGGGCTCAACGAACTCAAAATCTTATCACATCATATTGCTGGGAACAACTTGATCACCCTACGCATAGCCCTGATCTAGCTACTAGTGACCACCACTTGTTCCTCCACTTGAAAAAGGCATCTAGGCAGTCAGCGCTGTGACGACGTTGTCAAAACGCCGTGCTGCGGTGGTTGGCAAATCAGGCAGTAGGTGCCTAGGAGGATGGAATTCACAAGTTGTACGATATGAAAAGCGCCTTCATATTGGAGGAAATTACGTTGAAAAGTAGATTAAAGTATAGGCTTTCAATAAGATAAAATTATTTTAAAAAATGCAGTTGCGTTTTTTAATATCAAAACGGTACTTACTTAATTTAAAAGACACGCCCCGTATTAATAATAAAAGTAGCATATAAAGAACATATCCATTGGGAGGGTTTTGATGCAGACAAAAATTTATATCATACCTGTGGAAAAAGTACACTTCAATACTCTGTATAGCCTCCTTTGTCCTTTAAAACCTTCCTAATGCGATCAAGCATATAATTAATAATATTCCTGTAATTGTGCAATGTAATTTTGTTCCACTCATCCGGTACACGTTCCCATAATTGGTGGACGCTTTCAGGCGGAGCTACATAGACAAACGACGTTTACGAAGGAACCAGATGTGTTCAAACGGATTGAAATCAGACGATTGAAGTGGCCACTGAAGCAGGCTAATATTTTTATCCTAAAGCCATTCCCTCTTGATATTGCCCTCCTGGAGGGTAATGCCAATCCTGGATCATTATCTTTCTGATAAATGAAAGAGCTCCTACCAACGTGATAATAATCAACAGATTGTAACAAATAATTGTCAAGTATCTCAGTGTAAATAACGCTATTCATTGTATAAGGTATAGAACATAACATTTCATACCCGAAATAGGTAACACAGCCCCACCCCATAAAACTACCCACCAAAATTCAATGTTGTTTGTACATCTCGCTCAGTTATAGACTTTATCGATGTAGTCCATACCTATTTTCGCTCATCTAAACTAACTATTCATTTTGGATTCATCTGACTATACAATGTTCTTCCAATCTAAGGTCCAGTCTTTATAGCGTTTGGCAAAATTAAGACATTTCTGTTTATGTAATTTGGAAAGTTTGGGCTCTTGCTTTCAAATTGTTACGTTTTAGGCATCTGCGGATAGTTGTACTCACTCCTATTCCTCTTTACTTGTGATGAAGTATCGCAACGTCCACTCGTTATCAGACGTTTCTGTTTTGGCACTAAATGATTTCTTCCTGCCAGCTCTTAAATTTTCGTGATATTGTAGCTCACTATGTTTTATTCTGAATGCACTCGAACGCTCAACACCAACTTCTAATGCAGTTTTCTCAAAAGAAAAACCTTTCTTCTGCATGTCCACGATATGGAATTTCTTCTCATCGGAAAGCTTCACGATGACGCATATCAAGCAGCAGCATTTGCATATTTATACGTTAATATCGCGTTAATATGCATAAAATTACATTGTATAACATTGATGTTATAATAAATGAATTTATTCGTCAAAATCCTCCCAATGCAACAAATAGAAATTATACACCACATATATTTTAAAAATATGAAAATTATTTCAATTTTTTGCTATTATGTGAATATTGTAATAGTATTACAGCTGATTTATTTCCTTTTCCTTTTACTTTCGCATATCTAATAGTTTTTTGCTTCCAAAATTTGTAGTACGTACTGTACAAATTTTGGGAGGATTTTGACGCTTACTGTATACTAATAAAGTTCATTAGTAAATATTAAAATGAACAATAGCGAGGTTGCGGCCGAAGTTTTCAACGCGAAAACATGTACGTCGGACGTTCAGCGCCGCTTTCCTGTAAGCCTAGAAGTTTAACAATGGCGTTTGGAAAGTCAGTGGAATCATGCTCGACATTCCTAACGCTATTATCAAACTTCTAGGCTTACGGAAAGGCGGCGATGAACGTTCGACGTACACAATTTCGAGTTAAAAACTTCGGCCGCAAACTCTCTTATAATTGGGATTTTAAATGTATTATAACATTAATGTATTATAATTATTAAAATGTATTATAATACATTAATGGTATTATAATATTAACTAAGGAACTATAATTGGAATTTTAAATGTAATTATAACATTAACTATTAGGCTATCACACCGTGTAGACCAACTAAGGATTATGGAGACCTTAGAAATTTATAAAGCGGGATTAAACAACACATGTATTAATTCCAAAGACGCAGTCAACATCTCTAGTGCATGGAAATTTTGCTATGAAGGAACAACCCATAATTGGGTGTAATATGGATTTATTACAAGCGCAAATTACGCAAGCTTTGACGTCATCGAAGCAAGAGCGTGGTGTTCTATATTTTTGATATTAACGTTGACGTTCTAGGATTTGAATCGCATTTATTCGGTTCCTGTTCGATTCTGTTTGAACTTATTAAAACAGTGGCCTGAAGAAGACCCTGGTAGGGTTGAAAACGTTTGCCAAGAAGAATAACACTGGAGATTGAAAGGTTTTTATTCAAGTGGAGAGAATTATTATAACATTTTATTCTTATAGGTGAGCGAAAAGTTGAATTTGAAAAAAGTTCCGTGTGCTTTTCAAATCAGATATGCAGGTTATAAAGGAATGCTTGTTGTCGATCCGATGTTGGGGGACAAAGGACTGAAGATTGTGTTTAGAAAAAGTATGAAAAAATTTGATAGTCCATCTAATCAACTTGAAATAGTGAAGAAAAGTCAACCCAGTAAGTACTTAAACTTATATGAAAATTATATTGTCTATAAATAAATTTAAACATTGTTTTTAAGCTCATAATCAAGTATCTTTCAATATATATATTTTTAATTATTCCACTGTTTTATTATGTGAATAGCTTAACTTATATCTATGAATAAATATTTGAAACCAGAAACTAACAATCTATTTTCAAATTTAAACATTTAATCTATCTTTACACTAAATACAATAGCTTGAAACTACAAATTAAAATATATATTTATCTTATTTAGTTCTTGTACAACTAAATCGACCAATGATTAACATCCTAAATCAATTGGATGTTCCTAATGAAGTATTTATAGAACTTCAGGAAGAAATGCTGTCAACCATAACAGATATTTTAACGGACGATGAAAAGGCTGCAGAATATCTCGTTTCTAAACTGACTTCAAAAACTACGGGTATAACAGGATTTAAAGAAATGGTAAATGCTGGAATCGGATTGACAGGCGATCCTTTCTTTCGTGAACTGTTATTATGTCTTCGTGAAAGAGCGATTTGTGAGTATTGAGTATTTATTATGTATTGTCTTTACCGTATTATTCACTGTACAATAGTTATGATTTTGTAAATGAATTAATAGATTAATAATTTTTATTATTATCACACCAATTTGTAACCACATTTATGCGATTTTACTTTTTATTTTCATTTTTGTCTATTATAAAAATTAATACAAACTAAAAATCTCATTTTGTTGAAATCCATTTTAGTTTTTTTTTATTATAACCCCTCTTCAGTTTTCAGTCTCCCATTGTGGGCTTGGCCGAAGCCATAGTAAGCTTGCTAAAAGAAGTTCTCTTAGTGCCCACAGGATGGAAAGTATTAAAAAAAAAAACTTAAACTTCGACGGTAATTCTTATTAATATGTAGTATGCTTCTTATATTTATTTTGGTGTTGTTTAACCTAAATTATAAATGTTTAAAATTATGATTGTTCTGCAATTTGAAAAAATTGCAGAACAATGCCAATTGCTAATTCCCAATTGCAAATTTTTGGTCTGCAATGCAGACCAAAAATTCCCATTGGCATTCGTCTGTCTGTCCTTTCTTAATCTCGAAAACGAAGATAGATATGCGAAAGTCGAGACCAGATATGGAAAGCTTAGGTAAAAGAGGTTCCGATTAATAATATACAGTAGAGCGTCGATTATCCGAACCAATTGGGGACTGCGGTTGTTCGGGAGGAAAAACGATATTTCGGATAACCGATTATGCACAAAAAAATATATTAACCTATCTCATGTTGAAATTTTTCTCCGTTGCGTGTCGCTTCGCGTTGAATTTTCGTCGATGTTAAGCCTAACGTAAACCTTTTAAAATAATAATCGTGACTATTGTATCCTTAAAAATTATTTATTTATTTTGTACAAACAAAATAAATATATTGAAAAATATAAAAACAATAAAAAATTATACTTCAGAAGTTAATTTAGTATCAAAAACGTAAAATATTTGAGAAGCCCAAGACATAGCCAAAGATTGCAGCGCCACAGCACTGGCAAAAATTTAAATTTGCCGACTGGAATTCTTTCGGATAATCGACT